GTTGTAAATCTTACCTCTATGATGTTAATGAGGCAGGATTAGAGTTATGTTATGTTAATGAGGGAAGACTCAGTCTGCAATATTATGTTGTGTCTTAAGTCAATCTCTTTTGAGTTCTAAAAAAAGCCAGCAGAGAGACAGGGGAACTCACACCACCAAGAAAGAAGAGCCAGGAGAATAGCTCGTCTGTTGGACCCGGGATCCCTATGCTGAGAAGCTGCTTGATCTGTGAAGATTGATGACAAGGACCCTCCCCCAGAGCTGACCGACAGATAGCCTTCTCCTGGAGCTGGCACCCTGAATTCAGACTTCTAGCCTCCTAGACTGTGACAGAATACATTTCTCTTTGTTAAAGCCATCCACTTGTGGTATTTCTGTTATAGCAGCACTGAATGACTAAGAGTCTTAGTGTAAACCAGTTGCTGTTGAGTTGATTTCAACTCACAGTGACCCCATGTGTTTCAGAGTAAAACTGTGCTCCATAAGGTTTTCAGTGTCTCGTTTTTCAGAAGTTGATCACCAAGACTTTCTTCTGAGAAGCCTATGGGTAGACTTAAATTTCCAAACTTTTAGTTAGCTGCCAAGTCCATTAAACTTCTGCACCACCCAGGGAGTCCTACACTTAGTGAAATTATCATTTATCCAAAATTTAGATTCCATCCTACCCAGAGCACCACATTGTATACTTAAAATTAATAACAGCAGTTAACACAAAGCCATACCTGTTAATTTAGAAGAAATTCTTGGAACTACACTTTGGCCATCAGTCCAAAGTCAGCAGAGTAAATTGTGTGTAACTAAGATTGTTGACTTACGAGTTTTATATGTGTGGTTTTCCATGGCAACATGGAGATTTTTTTGTTTATTGTAAAGAGCAATATAAAGGATTTACTTAATTTTTTTTTTTTTTTTTATAATCAGCTAAAAGTTTCAAGTATAATACTAGCTATAGTATAACATAAAGATCAAAGATGGAACCAAATGACTGGGGGTCAAATTCCTCCACTTGCTACTCATAAGAGTTAGGTCATCTTTCTACCTCTGGTTCCTCCTCTGTAAAATGAGGATAATAATATTACCTGCTTATTATGCATGGAATTGTCTTAATCCATATTTTCCAACTATTTTACAACTCTGTAAATCGTAGAAACATAAGAGTAATTTTTGCATAGTGGAATACGAAACTAAAGATTCTTGCATGATGGAATACAGCTGATTATTGCCCTATGGGTATTGACTAGTTTTACAACTATGTGTGAATTATTTTAGCATTCCTGACTGCCTATTTGTATACAAGTTCTTTGCATTCTTCTTTGAGGGGGTTATAACATTTTACTGGTGCATTTATTAATTAATAAATTATAATACCTTTGACAAGTGTTCATTTTATATTTGTATGCATACTATGATTTTAGCTTTTTAAAAAGTTGTCTTTTAACAGATTATTATTACAAAGAAATCTGATATTGATTAAAGGGGAAAACACCCTATGAGGAGAATTAATATAGTTTTTGGAAAATGGCAGGACCAAGTGGTGTGGCTTATTCAAGATAGCATCCAAGTGGTGAGGGAGAGCATCTGTAATTGATGCTCATGCTAATGACACCGAGTTACAAAATCAAAGACAATCAGGTTAGACACTATTGAAAAAAGTAGGAACACAAATAGAATACTTTAAATTTGTTGGAGTTTTTCATCAAATATTTTATTTTAGGTTTTTAGATATAGGCTTAGTTCTAAAGAATATTTTGTTTCCTGACCAAAAAAAAAGTATATGAAAAGTTATATATATAAAAATCTAAATGATTTTCTCTCTTCTCCTGCTCTATCACAGTAATTTACGCTAATTCCCCAGGTGTACTTTCCAAAGTTATAATTCTGGAACTGGAAGAAGTGAATCATCAGTTGTCTATCCCACTCTTTCTCCACAGGAGGCCTAAAAGTTAACTGAACTACCACCATATTTAGTTTTTGATCCATTTTTTGATGACATCTCGTTATAGCATTTTTAAAAAGTTATTTATCTATTTCCATACAGACTTTAAAGCTGAATTATTAATGTTTAAGTATATTCGTTTTTAAGAGATCTATATATTTTTTTCCTTTTAATATGACCCTATATATTTGAAAAAGAGCTCTAATGGTACAAAGGTTAAGTGCTTGGCTGCTAATGGAAATATTGGCAGTTCTAACCCACCCAGCGGCTCCACAGGAGAAAGACCTGGTAATATGCTTCCGTAAAGATTACAGCCAAGAAAACCCTATGTGGTAGTTCTATTCTGTCACATGGGGTCACTATGAGTCAGAATTGATTGGACAGCACCCAACAATAATAACAATTTAAAACTTAAAAATACTAATACAATAAAACCAGAAAGCTAGTACTCAGTAATTTGGAGTTTTTAATAATTTAGGCATTGCATTCATTGTCAAAAAGAACATTTCAAGATCTATCCTTAAGTATAGTGTCATCAGTGATAGAATAATATCCATATGCCTACAAGGAAGACCAGTTAATACGACTGTTGTTCAAATTTACACACCAACCACTAATGCCAAAGATGAACAAACTGAAGATTTTTACCAACTTCTGCACTCTGAAATTGATCAAATAGGCAATCAAGATACACTGATAATTAGTGGTCATTGGAATACAAAAACTGGAAACAGAGAAAAAAGATTAGTAATTGGAAAATGTGGCCTTGGCGGTAGAAATGATACCAGAGATGGCACGATAGAATTTTGCAAGACCAATTACCTACTCATTGGAAATACCTTTTTTCAACTGCATAAATGATGACTATACACCTAGACCTCGCAAATGGAATACACAGAAATAAAATCGACTACATCTGTTGTAAAAGACAATGGAGAAGCTCAATATTGCCAGTCAGAAAAAGGCCAGGGGCTGACTGTGGAACAGACCATCAACTGCTCAATTGCTCACATGAACGTTCAAGTTGAAGATGAAGATAATTAGAACAAATCCACAAGAGCCAAAGTACAACCTTTGCTATGCCCCTCCTGAATTTAGAGACCATCGCAAGAATAGATCTGATGCATTGAACACTAATGAACAAAGGTTGTGGGATGACATGAAGGACTTCATACATGAAGAAATTAAAAGGACATTTAAAAGACAGAAAAAAAAAAAAGACCAAAATGGATGTCAGAAGAGACTGAAACTTGCTCTTGAATGTAGAGTAGCTAAAGCCAAAGGAAGAAGTGATGACATAAAAGACCTGAACAGAAATTTCAAACAACAGCTCAAGAAGACAAAGTGAAGTATTATAATAAAATGTGCAAACACCTAGAGTTAGAAAACCAAAAGGGAAGAACATGCTTAACATTTTTCAAGCTAAAAGAACTACAGAAAATATTCAAATCTGGAGTTGCAATATCAAAGGATTCTATGGGCAAAATATGGAATGACACAGGAAACATCAGAAGAAGATGGAATACACAGTCATTGTACCAAAAATAATTGGTCGACATTCAGCCATTACAGGAGGTAGCATGTGATCAAGAATCAATAGTATTGAAGGAAGAAGTCCAAGCTGCACTGAGGGTATTGACAAAAAACAAGGCTCCAGAAATTGACGGAGTACCAACTGAGATGTTTTGACAAACAGATGCAATGTTGGAAGTGCTCACACATCTATTTCAATAAATTTGAAAGACAGCTACCTGGTCATATGACTGGAAGAGATCTACATTTGTGCTCATTCCACAGAAACGCGATCAAGCAGAATAAGGAAATTATCGAACAATATCATTAATATCACATGAAAGTAAAATTTTCCTGAAGATAATTCAAAAGCAGTTGCAGCAGTACATTGACAGGGACAGGCCTGAAATTCAAGCCGAATTTGGAACAGGATGTGGAACGAGTGATTTCATTGCTGATGTCAGGTGGATCTTGGCTGAAAACAGAATACCAGTAAGATGTTTACCTGTGTTTATTAACTATGAAAAGACATTTGACTGTGTGGATCATAACAAATTATGGCTAACAGTGGGAAGAATGGGAATTCCAGAACATTTAATTGTGCTCATGAGGAACCTGTACACAGACCAAGAGGCAGTCGTTCTAACAGAACAAGAGGATACTACATGGAATTTCATGGAATGAGGAAAGGTGCAAGTCAGGGTTATATCCTTTCACCATGCTTATTCAATCTGTATGCTGAGCAAATAATCAGAGAAGCTAGACTATATGAAGAAGAACGGGGGCATAAGGATTGGATGAAGGCTCATTAACAACCTCAGATATGCAGAAGATACAACCTTGCTTGCTGAAAGCAAAGAGGACTTGAAACACTTACTGATGAAGATCAAAGACTACAGCCCCAGTATGGATTACACTTCAACATAATGAAAACAAAAATCCGCACAACTGGACCAATAAGCAACATTCTGATAAATGAAGAAAATATTGAAGTTGTCAAGGATTTCATTTTACTTGGATCCACAATCAATGCCCATGGAAGAAGAAGTCAAGAAATCAAATGACATATTGTATTGGGCAAATCTGCTGCCAAAGACCTCTTTAAAGTTTTGAAAAGCAAAGATGTCATTTTGAGGACTAAGGTACATCTGACCCAAGCTATGGTATTTCAATCACCTCATATGCACGCAAAACCTGGACAATGAAGACCAAAAAGAATTGATGCCTTTGAATTATGGTATTGGTGAAGAATATTGAATATACCATGGACAGCCAGATGAACAAACCAATCTGTCTTGGAAGAAGTACAACCAGAATGCTCCTTAGAAGGGAGGAGGGTGAGACTTCTTACGTACTTTGGACATGTTTTCAGAAAGGACCAGTCCCTGGAAAAGGACATCATGCTTTGTAAAGCAGAGTTTCAGCAAAAAAAAAGAAGACCCTTGAAGAGATGGATTGACACCTGTAACAATGGACTCAAACATAGCGACGATTGTGAGGATGATGCAGGACCGGGCAGTGTATCATTGTATTATACTGTGTGCTATGAGTCGGAATCAGTTCAACAGCACCTAACAACAACAACAACAGCAATAATTTAGGCAGAGACGGACTGAATTAGAATTTGCTTTTACTTATCTATTTCTTTCAGAAAATTATTTACTTTGAAAATTATAGTGTAAAAATTGTTCATAATGGTCATGTTTTATTTATTAAAATAAAATATTTTAAGAACTTGAATCATCCATTTGCACATTATCCATGTAATAACAGATTATTATTTACTAATTTAAGATATGTGTATTTGAGTTTAAGACAGGTTGGCGACTGGTATGGTTTTTCAAAGAATATTCCAAAATTCAAAGTAATCTTCCTGATAAATAAGCCCAAATCTTGGGGTTTCTTTGCATATGTACAATATAAAAATACTTTTACCCTGCAATATCTGAACGTGACTTCATTTTGCAAATTTATTACACATATTAAATTGCCTGTTTTGTAGCAAGGACTCAATATCTGACTTTTCTTTTCTGCCATTGTTTTATTTCAAGAAGCAATTTAATTACATCCCTCCCAGACATACGGAAAGTGAAAACTTATACATCAACGTGGCAGAATCAGGCTCCAAAGCAAAGTGGAGAGTTTTTCCTACTAAATTCTCCAACTAGCACAGAACGGGAAGGCTGTAATACAGATGTTTGCACCCTCATGCCAACTTTCTGGCATGCAATTACAAAAGCAGAAGTAAAACTAAGACCTTCTGGAAAACTGATGTTTAACCGGCATAGAACTCATTAATTCCTAAACGACCAGTAATTGCATATAGTACTTTTAAGAAGTAGTTTAACTTGCTACATTCTAGCACAAGTGTTCTCAAATGGTCTCTAATTTTGGATAAATTGGATTGGACAAAATTCTCTGTGGATCAAACCCAATCACTTCTATTTGCTAACAACAACAAAAAAGTAGAGAGAGAGGTAGACAGAGAATCAGAGAATGGGGGGAAAGAACTCCTTGTTTACGATGAGACACTAAAGAAATAATGTGGACTTTCTACTGAATTATAAAACCATCTCAGACACAAAAGCTTGGTTTGTATCACCCTATTATCGTAAATTATGCAAACTCACTGCCAGTTAACTGTTCTTAACCATGTGGGAAACTCTTTCCAGAAACAGTGTCTACTTGGACAAATACTGAGAGAATGGAAGACTGCTCCAGGCAGCTTTGGATGTGGGAGTAGGAAGAACCCAGAATTAGAGGTAAAATAGAGAAGCCACACTACATCCACAAACTCAGTCTATGGTTTTGGGTCATTGACTTCAGACATCCCTTCATTCCTTTCATCTTTTTTTTAACAATGCTTTGGGTACTATACTATTTTTTTTTTTTTAAGTTTGATGAACTTTAGTATCTTCTATGGATAAGCAAAATAAGGCCGACTTCTTTTCAATTTTACAAGTTAAGAAGTTTTATTATTATCTTTTTTTACTACACAAATAGCATTTGGTATCGTTAGAGAGGAAAGGGTTGTCTTCTAAAATGTAAATTAAAAATCATTTCAAGACTAGGAACAAGATAAACTTTTTTTTTCAGTCCTATATGCCTATTGCTTCCAGTAATAACCTTACCCTATATTTATAACTAAAACAAGTCTTCAAATATTTGTATCCTTGGGTGAAATAACACTTGCTCTGAATTCCCCCCGGGCTTTTGACCAGAATGAAGCATAATGCCTTGGCTGAATTACATACACTTAAAGTTTGCCTGTAATATAATTTTATAAATTCAAATATTAATAATTGTACTTACTCTTACATAAGGTATATACTTTAATACCTACCTTCCTTATATTTTTGTTTAAAATATACAGATGTTCAGCATGGGAAATAAGATCCTTTGAAAAGTATTAAGTTTTAATTTTGCTGAACTATCCTTAAGAAAGTTCTGATTAATTCTATAAATCCATATCACTTCTTTCCATCCCAATTGCTAACACCATAATAGGAAATGCAAATAGTAATAAGTAATTTTTAAATGTGATTTCAATGCTGGCATGTTATCTTCTGACCTTTCACAGGTCAAGTGTAGAGAGTAAAAATTTGGTTCTGCCCCAGCAAAATGCTTAATTCATGACTTTGAAAATGTCAAGATCAAAAGGGGATTGATTCAACTCAATTCCGTTTGTCCGGGTGGGCAGAAAAGAAGATGCTCTTTTATTCAAATGACAAGGACATTTGATCCAGAAAAACTGTAATACTTTCTTCTGTAAGAAGGTCACACACCTCACTTTATGAATTCTGGTTTGAAAATGTCTTTGTTGATCAGCTTATTCATAGTCTGATCCAAAGAGCAGTCTGAAAATGAGGCAATTAGCAAGTCTTTTGTCCAAAAAGAAAAATAAAAGACACATTTTATTATCAATGGCCAGTGAACATAAAGTGCCACCTGATGGGATTCGGTCCTCTGAATACCTGGGGCAGGGTTCTTCAAGCTCTGTGAATTATGAAAAAAGGAAAACTCACAAAGTGCCAATAAATCTATCCAGTTTCTTTATCAAAGGCCAGTGGAATTCCATCACTAGCATCTCTTGGGGACCAAATAAAGGAGACAGTAAGTTTTGCTATACAAGAATTTCCAGAAGAGTACCTTACATCACTGGCATGTTGTCAAAGGCTAGAGACACTCTTGCAGTCTTATTTTTGTTCACAAATGAGCTATTTGTCTTAGTGGAATATGCAATTCTTAGGTCACATGATGAGGAAACATAACAAGACCAAGGTGGGTGGGTGCTTAAAAACACAAATCACAATAAAAATTAATTTAGGAGTCTGGGATGGTGTAATTCCACCAGAGTGGGATATTTTATGTGATGTGGAATTTAAAGCAGATGTGGGTCTCCAAGAAAAACGTGACAGCTTACGACAGTTTACTCCAAACTTAGCACGTTACCACCTCCCAGATCAGTCTCTGGAAAAACAGCCTGGTGATCTACTTCTGAAAGTCAGCCAATGAGAACTGTATGGAGCACAACAGTCAGATCCCCAGTGCATCATGGGGATGGCACAGGACCCAGCAGCATTTTGTTCCATTGTGCATGGGGTCATCATAAGTCGGAGGCCAACTCCACAGAAGCTGATAACAACAGTCATCCCCTTAAATGTCAAAACTTGGCCTTTCAGCTGCCTTGCCTCTAGGGCAGGCATCCCACCTTTGGCTGCAAATCAGTATCACCTGGAGGACTTTTATAAACGATGTAAGACTGGGCACTTTCCTAAACCAATTAAATCTGGGTCTTTTAGATGGGTCCAAGCACTAATAGTGTTTAAATGTTCTCACAGGTGATCCTAATGTTCACCCAGTGTTGCAATTTGGGGGAAAACAGGATTTGCAACGGGTGAAGGTAAATTTAGGGTGTCCAACAATTCAGGAAATAATAATGTAAATGCATTCTCTCTCAGAGCTCGTCTGTGTCAGGGGAGTCCAGTCCCAAGTTCTGGATGTCACTTCTCTCTCTCTGTCATTTTCTGATCAGAGCGGAACCACACTTCTGCATTATAACTGTACCGTGCTGTCTTCTTTTCTGATGATCTCATCCAAAACGTCAGAGCAATAAAAAAAAAAAAAAAAACCCTCATTATACTAACAATAGTTTTTCCAATTGCAACCCTTTGAAAAAAGCAGTCTGCGGTGGTATTTTTGACCAAAATTTGGGCCTTAAATAAACATGATCTGGTAGATCATTGGAGCTACAGAATCTAGAATGCTAACATGAATGAGATTTGATTGATTGAAATCTTACCTCTTATCTTGCTGAAATAAGAAGCTGGGGTCCAAAGTAGGTATGTGGAGTGGTAGGTCTGCTTTGTTGGCAAACAAATGATCCTATATAGTAGATAACTGATGACATAGCTCCAGGCGAAGATCCCCTTTTTATGGACAGTGGCTAACAATGACAAACCAAGTGAGACCATCAACAGATGTATGTATAAGCAAAATATGATGTGTACATACAACGAAATATTATGCAGCCATAAAGAGAAATGAAGTTCTGATACATGCCACAGCATGGATGAACTTGAAAATATTATACTGAGTGAAATAAGTCAGTCGCAAAATGACAAATAGTGTATGACCTCATTCATATGAAATAAGCAAATACATAGAAACCAAAGATTATTAACGGTTGCCAAGAGTGGGGAGGGAGGGAGAAAGGGGGAGTTTTTTTGGGAGGAGGACATTGAGTTTATGTTCATGGCGGTGGAATGTTTTGGAGGAGGATAGCAATAATGGTGGTAAAACATGAAAATGTAATCAGTGTCACTGAATTATAAATATGAAAATTGTGCAGGTGAAGTAAAGAAATACGTACATACAATCAAGGGAGATGGAGGAGGCCAAGGAATACTGTTGATTCTCTCTCGACCCTATCTCTCAGGTGATTAACAGACAGTATGCTGCTGCTGTGAAAGTGGCTTCTATCCATTTTACCTGAAATAAGGAGTCAGGTCTTTGGGGTCTTAATAGAGTATGTTCCAGATTTTGGTCTTTATCTTAAGTGTGGTTAGAAGCCATTAAAGCATCTTTTGTAGAAGTAAAATCACCACTTTCCACTCAAGCAACCCTCTTACTACAGTACTGAGAGAGGTTTGAAGAGAAAAATGTAGGAATCTGAAAAGCCATTTAGGAACTTATTACAGAAATCCAGCCAAGAATCTAATGGAAGTTTGAACTGGGGCACAGCCAGATTAAATGGAAACAAGTCATAATATCCCGAAGATTTTAGAAGATAAAATCAGTGAGAGCTGATTGGACAAACCAAATGTCAGTAAACCCCCTGAAATTTAAATCAAATTGACTCAAACAACCTTCAGAAGCCCAGTGCTCCCTCCCTCCCCCATCACACTAGTATCTGCCAATCCCTTGTGGCTGAAGCTGTCAGAGTTAGCTCTCATATTCTGTTCCGTCTTAACTCTAAACATCTGTCCTATACTTGTCAATTCCTATAGTTTTTTCTCAGTCTTCAACCTTGCATATGCCCACACAAGAAACGAAGTGTTTCCTTGTTTTCTGAACACCAAACCCTAGTGGCATCTGTATTCCTGAGTATTGGAGAATAAGGGAGTGTGAGAAGGGTAGACAATGAATCTAGGCAACAGAGCTATACATTTTAAAATGAAATATTAACATCCCCCATTTTGAAAGTCCTGCAGGACGAGGAATTTCTTGTAGTCCAGTGTTTCTCCCCATACCTCCTGCCTCCTGCCGTGTTATTCGTCCCTTACTTCATCTTTTCCTTCACCTTCCACATTGTGCTATCTTCTCTGAAAGTTCTAATTGCTCTCTCTATCCAGCTCAATATATCCAAGTTATCACTGAAGATTCTTGTCTTCAAAATTGATTATGCCAATGAATGTGCTCTTCAAAACAAGCATACTCTCTCTGAGCAAAATTCTGTGCCCAACTCTCAAAATCGTATTTTTCTCTACTACCATTGAAAATAGGGGAATTAAAGACAAAACCCAGGTTCTAAGTTTCACAATTACATGGCTGTGTGGTGCCAGCAGGCAAATGGTAACATCTGCTTCCCAGATACGTTGGGAATCTACTTACCTTCATCTCTGAAAAACTCCTGTATTCTTGCAAATTATAGAAACATGCAGTTGTGGCATCTCAAGTTTTCTTTGAGTTCTCTTCCTTTTCCTTGGTGTCAATCCCGTATATTTAAAATGATTTACTGTCCATTTCCCTTTTAACCCTGGGTTTGTAGCATCCTGATCTTAGTATCTATCCTAAGTTTATAACAGGAAACTCTCCAAGCAAAGTTGACAGCCAATATTTCCTTAGTTAAAAGCTCCTCACAAAAATCTCACCTATACTCAGAATCTGATTTTTTACAGGACTTGCATAAATCATGACTTGTTTAATGGTTGCAGAAACTTTCCTTTCTACCATATTTTTCCTGCAACAGATGGATCCATATCTATTTCCTCCAGGTCTCCATTTCTATTTCCTTCTGATATTTCAGTGTTTCTTTCAAGCAGAGCTTAGCTAAGATTTTGAAAACTCAACTTGCTTCTTCAATGAGATCCCATTTCCCTTCCTTTTTTGTAAGGCTAAATTCTTGATGGGTCACAATGTCATCATCTTTCTTTTTCCCATGATTACCATTTTTACTCCAAAACAAAACTGGTATTTTTGTTTTGTTTTTATAATTTAGCTAATATCACTACCTGTGTTCTTGATATTTCCTTTCCAAAACCTAAGCAATAGTCCTGTCTTTGCAAATGGAACAATCAATTCTAGTTGCTGTAACAGACCAGCTTTGAAATCTCAGTGGCTTACCACGATAAAAGTTCATTTATTGCTCACATCATAGCCAGAGGTTGAGAGAGTGTTCATTGTCCATCTTGTAGCAATGCTGTTTGGAACACATGGCCTCCAAATCACCATGGCAGGAGAAGAGAGGGCTCGAAGATAGTACTTGATGGTTTTAAGGATCAATGTTGGAAGTAGCTTCCTCCCCATGTTATATTGGCTAGAAGCTAACCATATGATCTCAATCTAACTTCAAGGGAGTCTGGGATAGATGGATGGATGCATGCATGCATGGATAAATAGAATGCATGGTGAACATTAATAGTCTCATTGAGTCTCATCAATGACTATTGCCATCGAGTCATCTCCGACTCATGGCAACGTTGTGTATAACAGAACAAAACGTTGCCTGATCCTTTGCAATCTCCATGATCTTTGGAAGGTATGAATCCATTTTAACAATCTTTGTGTATATTCCAAATTTTTTATCCTTTTCATCCTCACAAATAATTTTTTCTCTATATCAGATCAACTATGATTGGGCTAATATAAATTACAGTGTGGCTAGTCTAAAATGTTATGTGCTGTGAGTATAAAACACACATTGAGTTTCAGAACTTAGTACAAAAATGAATGTAAGCTATCTCATTAATAACTTTTTTTATATTGAGTACTTATTGTAATGATAATATTTTGGATATAGTTGGCTAGAGAAAATATTTTACTAAAGTAAATTTCACCCATTACTTTTTGCTTTTTATTTAATTTGGCTACTAGGAAATTAAGAAACCCTGGTGGTGTAGTGGTTAAGAGCTACAGCTGCTAACCAAACGGTGGGCAGTTTGAATCCACCAGGTGCTCCTTGGAAACCCTATAGGGCAGTTCTACTCTGTCCTATAGGGTGGCTATGAGTTGGAATCTACTCAACGGCAATGGGTTTTCTGGGTTTTACTAGGAAAATTAGATAATATAAATGGGTCACATTTTATTTCTGTTGGATAGTGCTACTCTAGAGCTGTAGTGTCCCAGACATGTCTTGTTAAAATTATTTTTAATCCTTGGCCTTGCAATAATTTCTTTGAGGTTTTCTTCTACCTCTAAGCCAAAGAGAATGATGTATCTTCTTACAATAAATATCCCTATTATTATTTATTCATTCATTGATTATTTTGTTCCACCCCCCCCCCATAAGTAAATTGACTCTCTGAATCTCTGAAATCCATAACCAGGATCAGGGATTATCCACTAAACACACAAGATCTAACTCAAGAGCAAATTGTGGGACTAATTCGTGAGAAATAATAAATCAGCTACTTGAATCCTCAGAAGCTGCTAGATTAGATACAGTTGGAAGCAGTACAACAGGGAACATAACCTGAGGCAGCTGATCTAATTAATGTCACCTATGCCTGTATGGGGCTAATAATCTAAATCATTAACTTGGCACATGTTGAATGGTGCCTACCCTTGAAACGCAAGACACCCCCTATTACTCTTGTAACTTGAGGTCGGAGAGAAGACTGCCCCGGCTTCAAAAATTAAATCCGACCTTTTGGCAATTCAGATCCACCAGGGACTCCTTGGAAGCCCTATGGGGCAGTTCTATTCTGTCCTTTAGGGTCGCTATGGGTTGGAATTGACTCAACCGCAATGGGTTTGTTTTTGGTTTTGGGATCACAGTCTGTGTGTAAGAACTAGCAGGATCTGCACCAGCTGTGATGGTTAGCTAATCCTTGCTCTTTCTATGTGGTGCTTGCTCCTCCACTGCTAGTTCCCTTGATAAATGCATTGGGCCTGCTGAAACTACAGCAAATATTAGAAACCAGAGTAATATTTTGATGGTTAAGACACTACTATGTCCAAAGCATCCCACAATAGCCAATTAATGCCCTAAAAGATAGCCAGTATCCTAAAGTTTCCTGAAGGAGATAGACATACAGAAATAATAGATAAGAATAAAAACAAATACATTAATTACTTTTTATCTGAATTTCTGTATCCCAGGGAAGAACTCTGGTAAACTATGCTGCACTTAGGAAGCTGAAACTAGAAGTCTAAGAAGTCTCCTATATATACGTAAATCCAAACTCAAATCTTAGAACTTAATAAAAGATGGAACATTTGACATTTAAATAGATACTTAAAATAGCTATTCCCACCTAAAGGAGCCCTGGTGTCAGAGAAGTTAAGCTCTCGTTTGCCAACCAAAAGGTCAGTGCTTTCAAATTACCCAAATAAGAAATGAAATGGGGGATATTATAACAGACCCAACTGAAATAAAAAGGATTATAATAGATTATGATAAACTATACTCCAACAAATTTGAAAACCTAGAGGAAATGGATAAATTTCTAGAAGAACACTACCTACCCGAACTACAACAAAGTGATTTGAAAATCTGAACAGACCCATAACAGGAGAAGAGATTGAAAAGGTAATAAAAAAAAAAAACTCCCGACCAAAAAAAGCCCTGGCCCAGATGGCTTCGCTGGAGAATTCTACAAAACATTTACAGAAGAGCTTGTACGAGTACTACTCAAGCTATTTCAGAGCATAGA